TAAATTTGTTTTGTTGTAGAGCAAAATGGCAGAGGCTGGTTGAAAAATAAAACCCAATAAACCAAACCCACTGCCATCGAGTTCTTCTAACTCGTAATCAGACTCCCAATGAGTTTCTGAGGCTGTAAATCTTTACGGAAGTAAATTTGCCCAGTCTTCCTTCCGCAGAGTGACTGGTGGGTTTGAACCACCAACCTTCTGGTTAGCACTCCATTGCTTTGGGCACTACGCCACCAGAGCTCCTTGGTTGAAAAGAGATTTCCTTGAGGATCAAGGCAGTTTGCAAATCGGAAATCACTAAGTCCAGAGCATTCTGAACTAAGTGATCCAAGAAGGAGACCATTCAGAGACTTTACATAAGACCATACAAGGGACTTCAGTAAAAATTCAGTGATTGGTTGACATTCAGGTAACAGTTACAAAATTGGGTGAGGTTTCTGATTGGGAGGAGAGAACATGTGTTTCCATAACAGTTTTTTAAAAGTTACAAAGTAATCCTTGGGTTAGGGACGCCTGGCCTTGACACAGTCATGAGACCCTCCTCCCGTGACTGCAGGGAGGACAGGCCTTCTGACAATTGGTTTGGCCCCAGCTTCAGCATTGTACACAGGAAACAAAACCTGGGAGAGCAAACACAATTACACTGTTCTCTGAAATTGTTTACCCAGTAATTTTCTCAGGGGACAGCGGGGACTTACAGGAAGGACCGGGCTCCTGACATGGGTTCCTTCCCAATCCCAGGGGAGTTCTAGCCTCAGCATGGCCTCTCGTGTCGGGAGCTATCCGTTAACTTGGGTTCTCTTCGTAGGTTCTTCTTCTGGCCCGTTGCTGTTAGGTGTCCTCAGGTTGATTTTGAGTAGAACTGCCCCATAGGGTTTCCTGGGCTGTGATCTTGATAGGACTAGATCACCAAGCCTTTGCTCCCTGGAGCCTCTGGGGAGGTTTGAACTGCCAACCTTTCAGTTAGCAACTGAGTGCTTAACCGTCGTGCCACCAGGCCTCCTTACTTAACTATCTACCTCTATACCCAAACCCACTGCCATTGAGTCGGATCCGACTCATAGTGACCCCTCCTTGGGTTTCTGAGGTGGTATCACTACGGAAGTAGATTGCCCAACCTTCCTTCCAAGGAGTGGCTGGTGGGTTTGAACCGCCAGCCTTCTGGTTAGCAGTCAAGTGCCTTAGGCACTGCGCCACCAGAGACCCACTGCCATCCAATCAATTCTGACTCATAGCGACCCCCATCGGGTTTCCAAGGCAACAAATCTTTATGCAAGTAGATTGCTCCATCTTCTTTTCACGGAGTGGCTGGTGGGTTTGAACCACCAACCTTCTTGTTAGCAGTCAAATGCCTTGAGGCACTGAGCCACCAAAAACCACACCCACTGTCATGGAGTCAATTCCAACTCACAGCGCCCCTAGAGGAGAGAGTAGAACTGCACCACAGGGTCTCCAAGGCTGTAACCTCTAGGGAAGTCGACTGCCTCCATCTTTCACCCACCAGCGGCTTGTGGGTTTGAACTGCCGACCTTTTGGTTACCAGACAATGCTTTAACCACCGTGACAGCCTTCTATGTACTAGATTCTCTGCATCGCTGTCTCTATCAGCGACCTTCTCCCTGCCAGCGTCTCCCTTGATTGCCTCCACCTGTCTCCTTTTGTCTTCACTGCTTCCTGTGAGAATCTCTGTCCACTTGAGAGGTCCCTACCTCTCTCCACGGTCTCTGCTTATCTCGGTGTGAGTCTCTCCACGGTCTCTGCTTATCTCAGTGTGAGTTCCGTCTGCACCTGCCCTCGTGGCCTGCGTCTTTATTTCTCAGTCTCTCTCTTCCGCCCTCTCCTCCTCCCCATCTCTCTCTGTTGCTCTGCTCTTTCGTGCTGTGAGCCTATCTGTCCTTCCGTCTCTTGTCCCTGTCTCTGATCCCACGAGTCCTGTCTCCTTTGGGGAGTTCAAGAAGGGACAGTGTGTGAAGGGGTCGGCTGACCTCTCTGGTCCTCTCCCTACGACAGTGGAGTACCCAGAGACCCTGCAGTGCGCCAACATCAGCATCCTGGAGTCCAGACTCTGCCACTGGGCGTACCCGGGCCACATCTCGGACAGGATGCTATGCGCCGGCCTGTGGGAGGGCGGCCGCGGGTCCTGCCAGGTGAGTGCTGTCGGGAGAGGCGACTGGGTCCTGGGCAGGAAGGGGGGAGGGGGGAGGGAGCTGGGACGGGTGAGACCCGGAGGAGGATGGGCTCCGGACCCAGACTCCAGGATGGGGGAGGAGGTCCAGGCTGCTGGGTGGAGGGGCGGGGCCTGGACCCCCGGGTCTGAGGGAGGAGGGGCCGGGTCCCCCGGGTCTGAGGGAGGAGGGGCCGGGTCCCCCGGGTCTGAGGGAGGAGGGGCCGGGTCCCCCGGGTCTGAGGGAGGAGGGGCCTGGTCTCCCGGGTCTGAGGGAGGAGGGGCCGGGTCCCCCGGGTCTGGGGGAGGAGGGGGCCTGGGAGCCTGGAACCGGGGTCTGCAGGTGGAGGGGTTGGGGGCCTAGACTCCTGGGTCTGAGGGAGGAGGGAGGGGGACCTGAAACCCCAGGTCTGAGGGAGGAGGCTCTGGGGTCCTGGACCCGGGGTCTGAGGCTGCACTCCAGCATGTTGGGCGGGGAAACAGGAGACCTGTCTGAGGAGAGAGGGCCCGTGTAGTTAACGGTCAGGAACAGGCCTGTCTAACCGATCCCTGCTTCTACCTCGCCCACAGGGGGACTCTGGGGGCCCCCTGGTTTGTGACGGGACCCTGGCCGGAGTGGTGTCGGGGGGCGCAGAGCCCTGCTCCACACCCCGGCGCCCCGCCGTCTACACCAGCGTGTGCCACTACGTGGACTGGATCCGGAAGACCATGGAGGAAAACTGAAGCCTCGCTTTGGTAGAACAACAGGAGTCCCACGTCCTGGGACAGAGCGAAGAGAAACTCCTGCCCCGCGGGGCGTCGTCTACGTAACGTCACCCACAACTGGCACCACCCTCACGGAGCCACACTTCCTTATAGCTCCGCCCCTTGGAACTTTGCCCAATGGGATTTCGCCTCTGGGCTCCACCCCCTGGGCCCCGCCCTCTTCGCTCAGGGACCCCGCCCCCGTGATGGCAGCATCCTGTAGCTCCGCCCACTTGGACCTCGGCTAGCGGCGGGCTCCGCCCCTCGCAGCTCCGCCCTGGGCGTGTCTTGGGTTTGAACGCGGGCGGGGAGGCGGTTGCGGGGACTTAAGGGATGGGCTCCGTCCGTCCACAGCCAATGGCTGATTTTGCAATAAAAGCTGAGAGCGCCGCCTGCCTTCCGTCCGCATTGTGGGATGAAGGGAGGGCCACGGTGGGCGGTGAAGGGAGCCGCCGCCGGGGTGCAATCGTCTCTGAGCCCCTTGGAGGTCCTGCCTGGAGTCTGTCATCAGCCCTGTTGCAGCAAAGCTCCTGGGCTGTGCTTGGGCTGGCCCGCCGCCCCCGGGGGACGGGGAATCCAGGTCAAGGTGCCTCCCAAACCTGCCTTCCCAGATCCTGAGCTCAAGGGGGCAGCGGGCGGGCCTCATTCGCCTCTGGTGTCTTTTTAGACCCGCCTTTCTCGGTTCTCCATGGCGGGCCCCTCCTCCCACAAGAATTCGGTGCCAGCCCCTCCTCAGATCCAACTGTGCAAGCCCCTGACCCCCCTTCGCGGTCAGAACCAGGAGTCCGGACCCCCTGCCACCACCACGCTGCAGACCACAGCTCAGATCCCCAACCCCCTCCTCACTCAGACCCCGGAGTCCAGGCCCCTGGCCCTACTTTCTGAGACCCAGGGCTCAGGTCCCCATCGTCGTCGTCCTCCTCCTCCTCAGACCCAGGAGCGACCGCCTTGAGCCCCTGCTCCCGGGGGGGCTGCCTCCTGAGTCCGACATTCTAGCGCCCCCTCCTTCAGGGTTTCTTCGGCAGACCCCAGCCCTCCTCACTCAGACTCGGGGTTCCAGCTCGCGGACGCCCCAGAGGCTCAGATGCAGAGGGAGGCGGAGCAGGAGGCGGGGATTCCCAGTTAAAAGGCTCCGGAATCGGGGACCAGCAAACAGAACCGAAGTGGGGGGCCTCTCCCGCCCCGGTCCGATTCAGTAGGTGACCCCGCCCCCTGGATTCCGTGAGGTGAGACGCCGAGGTCCTCAGATACAGGCCCCCAGCCGCTCCTGCCCTAGATCCAGGAATTGGGGGGCCCCAGACCCTCCTCCCCCAGACCCAAGAGGCCAGGCCCCCAGCCCCTCCTTCTCCCCAAAACTTAGGAGCCCGGACTCCCAGCTGGTTCTCCTCTCGCACCTAGGGGTCTGGGCCCCAACTCCGTCCTCCTCCAGAACCCAGAGTCTGGGAGCCCTTCTCTCATCCTCCCCCGGAACCCGGGTACCTCCAGCCTTACCCCTCAGATCAGGAACCCGGGGCCCCAGCCCCTACCTTCTTTGGGGAGCGCTCCAGATGCCTCTCAGCGCCATCCCAGTCCCCAGATGTTGGCACTAGAGTTCCGACTCCTCCTTCTCCCTCAGTCCCGCCCTTTCTCTCTCGTGGACCCCACCATGGGCTGCCCCCCACCTGGCACTGCCTTCACCTGGATGTTGCTGCTTTTGCTGTTGGAGGCCTGGACAGGTGATGGGGCTGGGGGAGGGGCGGGAGCACACCTGTAGCGTGTGAGGGGTTCAGGAGGCGTTAGGACCCCCACCTTCGGGAGCATCTGCAAGCTTGGGGGGGAGATGGGCGGGGGCATGGAGGCCCCAGGAGCAGGTAGAAGTTGGAGTTATGCCAGAAACCAGTGGTCCCGTGGTGGGCCGTTTGCTGAGCGGTTCAGATGCACTTGGGGGAGCCCACCGGAGCGTGTGCACACATGTGAAGGCAGGCGCTTCAGTGTGTGACTTCATGCGTGATGACTCGTGGGCTTCACTGATTGTATGTGTACATCCATGTGGCAGCGTGTGGAGACCTGGGGTTTCACACCTGAGGGTGTATGCAGGCAGGTAGCAGCGAGGAGGCAGGTGGAGAACTTGTGGTGTGTCCATTTATTATTATTTTTTTAATGCATTTTATTGAAATCTAATTTATGTACAGTGAAATAGTGGTGTGTCCATTTGAGTATTGTTGAGCTTGGCCAGTACTGGGGGGGCGAAAAGGAGCTGGTGGGCCCAGTGGACCCCAAGCCAAAGCCATTAGCAAGGCTTGGCCCCCCAGGAGGAGACAAAGAAGGGGAAGTGATGTGTTGTTGAGGTGCACCGGTGGTGGCCCATGCTGGTAACCTTGAAGCCACGATATTAACAGGAGTTGGGGAGGGATGGGAGGGAAAACTAAAAGTTTGTTCAGCAGGAGGAAGGGAACGTCTGAGTGGGTGAAGGAATGACTCCCCTCCCTCAGTGGTGGGGGGCACCACGCTATAAACCCTTTTGTTGCGCGAAGCAGTGCTTTTCCTGGCCCCGGCCTGCCCCAGAGGGTGGTGGCCCGACTCTCTCTCCTGCTTCAGGACACCTGAGGGCCCAGGAGCCCAAAGTGCTGGGGGGCAAGGAGTGTGAACCCCATTCACAGCCATGGCAGGTGGGCTTGTTCCAGGGCACCCGGCTGCTCTGTGGCGGTGTCCTCATCGATGACAGCTGGGTCCTCACAGCCGCCCACTGTAAGAAACCGTGAGTGGGGGCTCGGGCAGGGGTGGGCAGGGTGGGCTCAGGGAGGGGCTGGGAGCCCAGACTCCTGGGTCTGAGAGAGGAGGGGAGTTAGGGCTTCTACTCCTGACTGTGAGGGAGGAGAGGGCTGGGGGCCTGGACTCCTGGGTCTGAGGCAGCAAGGGGCTGAGGGCCTGGGCTTCGGGATCTTGCGAAGGAGAAGGCTGGGCCCCAGACTAGCCACCCCCTCCCCCATTACAGGAAGTACACAGTTCGCCTGGGAGATCACAACCTGAACAGTAAAGACGGGCGCGAGCAAGAAATGGCCGTGGCCCAGTCCATCCCTCACCCCGGCTACAACAGCAGCAGCCAGGACCACAAGCATGACCTAATGCTCATTCGCCTGCGGGGTCAGGCGTCCCTGGGGTCCACAGTAAAGCCCATCCAGTTGGCGGACCGCTGCCCCGAGGCCGGCCAGCAGTGCACCATCTCAGGCTGGGGTACTGTCACCAGCCCCCGAGGTACTGAGCTTGGCCCAGGACTGGGAGGGAGAGAAGGAGCTGGTGGGCCTAGTGGACCCCGAGCCATTAGCCAGCCTCGGCCTCCAGGAGACCAAGAGGGGAAAGTGATTGTGTTGGTGAGGTGCACGGGTGGTGGCCCAGGTTGAAACTCTGGAAGCCACAATATTAGCGGGAGTGGGGAGTGACCGGAGGAAAGAAAAGAAAGGAAGATTGTGGGGTAGGGCTCAGGACCGAGCAAACAAACAGAAGGGCGGCTGAATGAATGAGAAGGTGAATGCATGAATACCCTTCCTCCACAGGGGAGAGCACCATGCTGTGCGCCAAACAAAAACGCCAGAGTTTCTTGGTTGTAATCAGATCTCCAGGCCTTTGCTCTGCAGTTCGATGCGTTGGGTGGGTTCAAACCACCAACCTTTCAGTTAGCAGTTGAACACCAGCTGTTTGTCCCACCCAGGAACTTGGGACGCCCCAGGCACACAGGAAGCTAGGCTTCTAAGCACCCTCTCCCTCTTGAACCCAAGAGCGCTGCTCCCCAAGCCCCCACTCCCACAGGAACAAAGTGCAGGCTCTTACCCTCTTAGTGTCCGGTAGACTAGGACTCCAGCGTCCCCCTCACGCTGGACCGAAAATCCGGGTCTCCATGGAAAGCCCCACTTTGAGAATTCAGAGTCCAGGCAGCCCTTCACCCTGCCTCAGAGGTAAAAACGCAGACTCGTCTCAGAGAGTCGACCTGACTTGAAGCCAGGGTTCAGGTCTCTGCTTGTCTGACTTCATGCTTTGTAAATCTTCCTGCTAAAGAATCAGGCAGATGTTAAAAATGTGGTGCTGCCCCCTTCTTCTGGCAAATCCTCCCCACGGCTCAGCCTCACTTGCAAACTGAGACGACTACCCAAAGGCCTTCGAGCTCCTGAAGGGCCTGCATTGCGTCTGTTTTCCTCACTGCCCTGTCCCTAGGGCTCAGGGTGCTGCCTGGCCTGCAGTAGGAGCTCAAGAAATATTTGTGGAGTGAATGAATGAAGAAATAATTGAATCACTCCATCAAAGAGCTGCTATGAGGGTTAAATGAGTTCATGAGCGCACCGCTGTTGACTCAGTTGCCAGATACAAGTTTTTTTTTTTTTTCTCCCTCAAGTCTGTTCGCCAAAGGAACAGTTCCGCTTTCAATCATTAATTCAAGACATATTTACTGAGTAACAGTTCCAGGGTGGTGAAAACAATTAAGTGCTTGACTATTAACCAAAAAGTTGGTGCAATTTGATTTGCTTCCGAAAAGGCACAGCCTTGAAAGTCCTACAGAGCAGTTCCCTGCACCCATGGAGTCGGTAAGAGTCAGCACCCATGCGACGACATGACCTGGGTGCGATTCTAGGCACGGGAATGCGGTGTGAATGAATCAGGAAATGTCCCTGTCCTCGTGGAGTTGCAAGCTAGGTGGGAGAGAAGGACAATAAACAAATACATACACAATAAAACAGAGTCTCTGGGAACAGCTAGTGCAGTCGAATGCAGGGGAACAGTGGGGAGTGGAGTGAGTGGTGTTTTAATTAGAGTGATCAAGGAAGGCTTCTAGGAGGTGGTGACATTTGGAAGAAGTTAAGATTTAGTTGAGATTGGAAACCTGGTGGTGTGGGGGTAGAGGTAGGGCAGAAGGTGGGGGGTAAAAAGTGTCACATGGGGGCACCTCCAAGTTCCTCAGCCGCTTGTCCTTGAATTGGAAAATGGCTCAGAGCATGAAGCAAAAGGTAAGATCCAAGGGCCCCTGTCTTGGTGGAGAAAGGCGACCATCATGGGGAGTGGCTTCATTTTGTTACGCCCACCGGACCAGCAACTGGAGTGGCTCCAATGGACACAGGTTAGATTCCAGAAAAAGAGAGAGAGGGGTGGGGGAGAGGCGGAAAAAGCCGGGTGGATCAGACAAGGCTTTATTAGGGAAGCGGCATGGGGAGGTCAGTGCTAAGACTCTTGTGACAGACGCCAAGTGTCAAATGTCACACAGGTAGGGGTCCGTGCAGGGAGGGTAGAGTGGGCTGTGGCTTTATATGTTCAGTGCTTATGTGCAAGGGTACGTGCAGGGGACCAGGAGAAAAACACATCTGATGTGAGATGGAGGAG